TAATTAATTGCATTAATTGCACCTTGTTCAAAATCTATTAAAACTGATGATGGATTTAATGTAATGTTTTTTGTATTTGCATAAGTAACTAATGATGTAAATAAATGACGATAACCTTCTTCGGTTTAGTCTTCACAACACGAATATACTACTGCTTTCATGCTAAATTCGTCCCAAACATGAATATAATATGCTTGAGTAAATAATGATGGCGCAGTGCGAAAAGTACCGTATTCCAATGAGAATTTTCACTTAATAATTTTAAACTTTGTTCTGAAGCAAAAGCTGATGCTAAACTTATATTAGCAAAACAAAAATATATTCAACGTAAGGATATTGATGCTTATAGAACGGTTTTAAGATCTATTTCTCATCGGTATATACGTGTTTTAAAAGATTCTAAAGATAGTAGTGATGAAGAATAATTTTTTATTGTATTTCTCTTATTAATAATAATTTTGTTATGTATTTCTCTTATCAATAGCTTATCTTGTTAGATATTTTTCTAATCAATAAAATTTTTTCTAATTAATGCTACCACTTGATTATTAAAATGTTCGCAATTTGGAAACACGATAAAAATGAGATCAACGGTGTTTTCTGTGTTCCATATTGCGAACATTTTGATCTTAATTGGCTTAATTTTTGTTCGCAATTAGGAAGCTACGAAGAATACAGTTCAGCTTTAAATTGTGTTAACTTTTGTAACTGTTAATCAAAAGTGAAAATTTGTTCTGTTCTGTATAAAGATATATAATATACAATTCAATTAGTCATTTCTTGACTTTTCAACGCAGTACAAAGAGTGTTTTTCTGCTAATGTTTATTTAGCTCTATTGTAATTGCACTAGGCTAACTACTTGACTATTGTCATCTGTAAGTATACAGCAATTTTCTGGAGAAGAAGAGCATTCGGAGAGAAGTTATTTTGTCTCAAAGTTGAGCTATTTTCTTCTTGACAGTTTTGAAATCGAAAGAGAGTTTTTTCGATAGAACCAGATATACATCTAAAAAAACGAATACAATCTTTGTTCGGAACAAAAGATGTTTTTAAGAAGAGAAAAGCGTTCGTAGGCGCAATTATTTATCGTATACTGAGAAATCGGTGAAAATGATGTAGCTTTATCATTAATGCCTTTCAAGAACATAATCCTCTAAGAAATCATATTAGATAACAAAGTCATTGGATAATGGCGATGTTAAAACTGATTAAGAATACTCGCGCTTGAATTTTAATTGTTGTTACGTGTATTATATTCGAAAAACTTGCGAATTTTTATTTTTCGACTGTGTGTCTAACAATGATGTTCTCAGCATCGTTATTTATTCTTATTTCTTTTCTGTTACCGTCGTCGGTATTTAGTTCAACATTTAGACCTGATTCTAATTTTTGTACAATATGTCAAGAGAGTTTAAGTGATATATCGGGTAAAAATCCTCTTTTAAGATTATCTTGTGATCATGAATATCATAAAAAATGTATGGATAATTTACGCGATTCACATGGACAATATTTGTGTACCTTATGCAGAAAAGTTGATACCGAACGTCAGAGTTGTTTTGGTTGTGGACGAAAATTAAATGAAGAGCCTATTGAACAATTATGTTGTGATCATGCATTTCATAAAAAATGTTTACGTGATCATTGGTATGGAACGTTTAATAGAAAATGCTTGTTACCAAATTGTCAGGCTGTTAGATCACGTTCACCATCTCCACAAGCACTTCTCCAAGCAGCAGTGCAAAGTGGAGCAAGCGTATCAGTACATCAACATGATCAACGTATACCGTCAACTCAATCAGAATTATCAGAATTATCAATTTTATCAGATGCTGAGTTGCCACCGAGTGATGTAGAAGATGAAGATGAAAATATTAAACAAATGATAAAAGATTTACCTAAAAAGCTACAAATGTAAATATGATAAACGAGCAGCAGATTAAGTTCGATCATTGATAAAAAGCTCATTATTTCTTCATTTCTATTTGCTCTATAATTAATAAAAGAATCATTAAACATTTGGCGAAGTCAAAGAAAAGAATTATATTCTAGTAGTAATCCGATCATTAGAGAAACTGACGTATATTAACTCTAGCGTGCGAGTCAAGCATAATACTTCTTCGATTAGTTTCATGATAGACTTCAACTTAAAATCAGAATTACATTTTCTTTTCATACCCGTTTTCATTTGCGATTATTATGGCGGCGGTCCATATATAAACTATAAGTTTGCTCTCAGTTTAAATGGTCTATTAACTAACCGTTGTTGGAATCGAACACTTAAACTTATACAAAAGTAAACTTCTGAGGTGTTCTCATCCGCATCCTGTGCACCGTTATAGTGTGTCCTACGATCTTGTCGAATTTTTTAGAGAAATTTGCCTGCAAAAGTCTTGATTAAGATCTTGACAAGATTTGAAAAGTTTTCTGTAATTAACAAAATTGTTTGCTAAAAAAGAAAATTAGCAAACATTTTGATTACAACATGATTTAGAGGTTCGACAAAAGTATAAATATGCCAACTTTGCATTTATTTATTATTATTGTAGCACTACAGTGTAGAGAGTTCTGCTAAAATCAACGGGTAAAAAGCGCATTCCGTGGAGTGCCTGGAGTATTTCGAAGTGCTGCAGGTTTAAGGAAGTTTAAGGAATTTTATTCACCTTAAAGCTAAATCAGAGGCTTCTGAATTAACAAAGTTGTCTTTCTCTGTCTGTTTACTCAGCAGGCCTGTAACATGAGTAATTTCTCAATTTTTACAGTATGAAGGGCCGAAGAGATTTTGATAAATTTCAGTACTTAAGGGTTTTGAGCGATGTTCTGTCCGATGGCTAATTCGAAATATTTTTAAAAGTGTCGAGAGTGGAGATTTCAGAAAACCAGGGTTGTTCACTGATCCTTTTACATAAAATAATTTATTTTTATTTTTTTCTTCTATGAATCTGCTCAGAACCGAATTACCTTTTATACAGAAAGATAGGGAAGTTTTCGCGCTACAGAGGAGACGTCGCCGAGCTCTGAGCGACATTTTCCCATGAAACAGCATTCAGTTTATAGAAAGGTGTGAGGGAATGTCTTTCTCGTTCTGCATAAACTATAGTTTCCTTGTTCGCTTTTTACTTTTCTCTTTTTTTGCTTCTAGTTACACAAGTAGTAAATTAGACTCTATAGAACTGTATAGTGACAATGAGCACAAGATGCTTAGCACGTCAATTCACCTACAATTTTAGACGACTAAAAAAAAGCTGTAAATTAATGAGAGAAAATAGCACTTGAAAAAAGTCGATCAGTGTTTGAATGTTCGGTTCGAACAGGTCCGACTCGGATAGTGTCAGAGTAAAACACTGTTTGAGTCAAACCGTGTCCGAATCAAACAGTGTCCAAATGGAACATGCTTGAGTCAAACATCGGACATTTGTCCTCTCCGTCGTATACCTAGTCCGGAATGAAGGGACTTTTTTGTCTGGGAGTCATATTTGCTAAAAATGTCAACTCTCTAGCTCTGTTTATGCTCGAGATCTACGTTTTTAAATTTGAGAAAATGTTTGTGCGTTACCTGACTTTTTCATGTCCAGATCTTTCAAAACTTGTGCAGATTTATCGAAATCTGTCAGGATCCTGAATAGAAAGAAGTGCTGGAGATTTTCCACAAGTTTTATACAAGAATCTATCTTGATAAATCTTGAGCAGATCTTCAAGACATTTCAAGAATTCTGAAATGATTAATTTAATACGCAATAATCAGAATCTTCATTAGTGGAAATTCGAAAGAAAATCTTAAACTTTATTTCCTACTTAATATATTTTTTCTCTACTGCATGCTCTACAGTACTATGCAAACAGTACTAGAGGTGTTGAAAGTGCATAAGCAACCATACATTCAAACACAATGTTTGAATTTCACTTAAAAATTTTGTAATATTCTGTAGTGCAAGTATTTATTCTTATATAGGTGCGAGTGGTGCAGCCAAGGCGTTCAAACACGAATTCGCAGATGGCGCTTTCTCATGCGAATTATAATTTGGTGCAATTAACCGGTACTCCGAGCACTCTGTAAACATACCAAATCTGCGAAGTGTATCGAAAAGATTTTGCAGACGAATTATTTGCGAAGTGCAAAGAGTGAGCAATTTGCAGATTTTTCAACATAGGGATAAAAGGTTTTCGAATTTTGATAGTTAACATAGCTCTAACCTGGTATAATAATCTGGTCAACACGCTTTCTTTGAATTCACGCGTCCACAGCGAAGTGTATTTGCGAATTACTTCAACCAGTTGTATTTTCGTATTCGTAAAACGCTGAGAATTTTCATAAACGTCTAATTTTAAAATTCCTGCTATTCGTCCACGCTTAGCAAGGTGCATTTACGAATTGTCTAATTCTATCATACACTTCGCATTTGTGAATCCTTTGAACATGAGAAGTAGTGAGTAGTATAAAACTTGGATCTAGCAATGAACATTTACGAAATTCGTAAAATGGTCTCAGTTCGTAAAATGCCCTCAACAATGTGCATTTACGACTGCACAATTAAACGAAGCGGAGTATTACATTTTTATGGTATAAAAATTTCAAACCAACAGTCTGCACGGTGCAAAGTGCATTTCGTTTTTGAACGTCTTGGCCGCACAACTGATATGTATGAATACGCATGCACCAATACAATATATTGGGTTTTCACAATATTATTGGGTATTGGGTCACTTGAGTTCGGCCTACTTTTACAGTACAGCCGTATGGTATATATCCAGTTTTGAATCAGAATATAACCCAATTAGGCATGCACCGATTAATAATCAATATTAGGGCATTCAGAAAGCTCTTTCCATATCAGTTATAAAAAAGCTCTTAAAGCTGCCGCATTTTGTAGGAAAATATTTGCTCTACCAAACTGAAGTGCTACAACAATTCTAATGTTATATATAGAGAAAATACAATAGATCGAAAACGCGCTATAATCGTAGAAAAATAATCGACAGTCACTTTTATCGTAATTTTGCTCAGTTTCGGATGCTTATATTTCTGTCGCAGATAACACTAAAATGTCTTTTGCACTTCAGTTTGGTAGGGCAAACATTTTTCTGCAAAATGAGACATTCGGCCAAGGGGGAAAAGGCGACTTTTTTCTTTCTTAACATCGCAGAGCGTCGTTCAGCATCGGAGAGCATCGCTCAGCATCGGAGAGCATCACTCAGCATCGGAGAGCATCGCTCAGTATCGGAGAGCATC